CGGCGATATCTACTCCCCCCAAACTTGATTTTTCTTTTTTTTTTGTTGGTTTTTTATTTGATTTTCTTTTATTGTTATTTTAAAGATATGATTTTTTATTCATTTTTTTGTTTTAATATAAAAATCCTATTTTGCCCCTGCATTTAACAGAAAAAGTTAACAAAATTGAGGCAGGACCATTTGTCCAAACGAAGCTAAAGTTAAAGGACCATGGGAACCATTTTGGAAATTGAAGTACTCCAATGCAAATCGGGTCAAAATTCAGGGACTAATAAAACTATTAACCCAATTATTTACAAGCTATCACGAATCGTAATGAAAAATAAAATAGATCCCATTAAAACTGTTATTGTGAAGAATCAAAATCAAACTAATCTATTAATTTTTCTTAATTTCTAAGGCTTTTTTTCATAAGGTTTGAGTATTGTATGGTTTTTCTATATTTTGTGCCCTATTTATGTGCTTACATGTATAAAGCCCTTAAAAATCAATTACACAACATTATAAAATAACATAAAATTGAAATAAAAGTGAATAGGGAAAGGGGCTTTAAACGTGCGGCATATTGTTTCAATTTGGGTAAAACTGAATTTAGGGTTATAGGTGGAAATCAATTCGCAGAATTGGGGATTTTTGGGGGGTTTTCATAGTATTCAAATAGTCAATGCTTTCTCTGGCTTCGTCTTGGCTCCCTGATGATTGGCATGATGCTTGGTGGCTTTAGGGGTGATGATGAGTAGGTTTAGACTTGGCTATGTAATAGAGGTTTAGCAGTTGACTTGGTTCTGTGTTTGTTACGTAATCTGCAACATTTTCGTAATGGTTTTGATGTGTCAGTGAAACACATCAATCTCTCAATTGAATGGCCTAATACTATTGATAAACAAAAAGCGGGAAAAAACATATAAAAGAAAGAGGATTCCAGTATATAAATGTAAAGTGTATAGTGGCTCGGCTATACTATTTATTTATTTTTTATTTAAAAAAAATAGCCAAGTAACGCCACGCAGCTATACTATTTCTTTTATAAAAGAAAATTGGAAAAAGTGAGTGTCGCCGCGTGGCTAGTACTTGTTAAAAAAATGGTAAAACCTCGTATAGCCAGGCGGCTATACTGTTTCTTTTTTCTAAAAGAACTAGACAAAAAACCGTGTATAGCCGCGCGGCCATACTAATTTTTAAAAAGAATAAAGCAATGTATAGCCGCGCGGCTATACTACTTCGTTAAAAAATTTAAAGAGCAAGTATAGCCGCTCGGCTATACTAATTCTTTTAAAAAATTAAAAAAAGAGTATAGCCGGCGATATAATTTCTTTTATTAAAAATGGAAGGGGTGTATGGCCGTTCGGCGATACTATTTCTTTTGAAAAAAATAAAAAAAAGGGAACAAAATACACAAATTGAACTTCTGCATAACATCTCAAACTAGAAAGCCAATAGTAAAACAGAGTACAGTTACCAGCAGAGGGCCAAAACCAGCTATGATAAACATCACTTTAATCATGCTGCATAGCTCCAAGCCTTAATATAATTAACTAGAACAAGGAAACGCCAACTGCACCTGCAATCTGAAAAAAATAACTAGCAAAGTGGAAACAAAAAACCAATTGCAATAGCAAAAATAAAATCCAAAACTACTGCAAGTCCAATTCAACTTAATAAAACTTCGACTTGCTTTAATAAACGCTGCATAAACAACACAGAATAATTTAAACTCACAGTGCTCCTCCATATATAATAAGGAGAAACATTCGACCAAAATGAATAAATAAAGAAGAAACATTTATGTCACCCAGAAAATAAAACAGCGCTGTTGAGCATACATGATACATACTAGGCTAGCTGCTAGTTCCTCCACCATGGGCTGGTTGATTTTGAGCATGCTGTGCTGTGGTAGTCTAGGAACTGGTGTCGGCCACCATGGGAGCACAAATTGGTAGAAATAACTATTAACATTAATACTCTCAAATGAAGCTACTTTCTGTTGGCATCGAGGAGGGGGAGGAAGAGCAACCCATTGAGTGGTGTATGGATTGCAGATGTAGTAATGGTGTTGATACCAGTGGCTTGCACAGCACAAAACTAAATCGTTATGTGCCCCTACCACAACTGGCTCTTCTTTCAAACCATGGAACCTTATGATCTTTTTGAACTCCGGAGTTAGCAGCTTCCCGGAAGATATTCCGGGCAAGAGAATATCTATATAACTCTATGATAAAAGTGTAACAAACTTTAAAACGGGTTGGATCAGAGTTTTATTGGCAATGGAAAATAAAACAAAATCTTTTCAAAATGAAAATTTACATTACCTCAAGCTCGAGGTTACAAGTTTGTTGTAGAGCAAACTCACATTAGTTTACATGAAAAAGAGATTCTGAAACCGCAAGTAATCGTATAAATACAAAACTATAGTAGGGGTCCAATCTCGCCAATATGGAGATTGTTGTGATTGGCTTGCCATTTAGCGTGAAGTGTTGGAAGCAAGAAAACAAAACTATAGTAGGGGTCCAATATCGGTCTCCATGTTTTGGCTGACCAGCAGCTTCTTATGGATTTTGCAGGCAGCATAAACCAAAGAAATCATGATATGATGGCATGCAGCCTCAATATCAAGTCAATTTTATCAAGCCACATAATTAGTGGATGAAATCAATTGACCTAAAGAGAAAATATGCATAAGATGATCTGGACTGGTTGAAGGAACTTTTCCAATCATCATGCAGGATTTTGATGAAAGACTTTTTAATAGATTTAGAAAGCCAACTTTTCAGTGAAAACTCAGGTTTTAGTCAATGAAACAGTTGCCACCAATTCTATAGCACTTTCATTCTTTGTAAAAATACCAGCTAGTTGCTAGTTCCTCCACCATGGGCAAGACACGTAAATATTTAGGTGGGACATAAAAGGACTTCACTATATAGAAGGTCTAAAATAACAAGCTAAGGTCCCGTTGGGTCTAGATGAGGAAAAAAAACAGCGAGTAGCCTAAGAGCTCAGCAGTTAACCTCAACCTTATCCAGAATTCAAATGTAAACCCCATAAATTGATTTCACTATCATGGAAGTTATCTCGGTGATCACCGGATCTCCACAGCCTTATGAAAGGATCATCTACCACCTGGAAGGGGAAGCAATCTTTTACGTACAGAATCTTATGTAAGATATAGATTAAAATGAACATTTACATTACGCCAATCCCGAGGATACAAGTTTGCTGTAGAGTAACCTCACATTAGTTTGCAAGAACCACAACCTTAATAGTATTAGTAGGCAAGCATATTTACAAGTGATATAACAACACAATTTACAAGTGATATAGCAACAAAATTTACAAGGTTAAAGAAGTAGGGTTGCCTTCATGTGCAAGAAAGGATCTACAAGGTAGCGGTTTCAAACATTTTTTGAGCTTACTAGAACTTTTCGCATGCTAGAGATTGGGTGGACAACCTCCGCACTTGAGGTGCATTGAGGCATATGGTCATTTGTCAAGGTGAAGGTTTCTTGAAGATTGTGAGAATGGTCTTCAAGAGTATTAAGAGAACCTAAAGGTGCAATTGTCATGTTTGGTTGATGGCTCGCCAAAGTGGAGACTGTTGTGATTGGCTCGCCATTTAGCATGAAGTGTTGGAAGCAAGAAAACAAGACTGTAGTAGGGGTCCGACCGGTCTCCATGTTTTGTGCATGTTTCAGAGCAGCAACAAAAAAAGAAATCATGATATCATGGCATGCAGCCTCAAAAAGCATTGGAAGTACAAGAATCTATGGCACATTGGTGGAAACATTTGTGTAAGACGTATTGGGGAATATGGGCACAAAATTTTACAAAAAATTTGTTGAGCTAGACTAACTGAATTTTAAGCAGATACACTACTCGTTGATTTGTGTCTTCAGAACGGAAGTATGCAAGTATGAAAGAATAAAACAAGTCATAACGAAGAGACAGATGCAGTAGTAAGTGCAGGTAGCGATGGAGTAATAATAGCATTATCTGTCCAATTCTTTTCGCCCCAGTGCCGTAACATGTTCTTCCAGGAGCAGAATTCCTCAAAGCATGTCTTCAAACGATTGTCTTTTATCTTAATTTTCCAGTGGCCGTCAGTGTAATTTGCTTTCTCGGCTTGCCTCCGATCCCACTCTAGGCCTGCCTTCTGCTCTGTCCGGAGCAAGCAGAAGTTTTGCAAGTTCTGGGGCATAGCATCATGCACTTTCCACCACCTTTTATGTGCAACGTCACTAGCAAACTCCTGCATAAAATCCACATTCCAGTTGCAGTCATAGTCACGGAAGCATAGCCATGGTTTATTGCCCAGATAATGGAGGACATAGAGGATTGGAGGGTCAGCTTCGAAGAGGCGAGTTTTCATCTGCTTTATCTCCGGCTCATCACCTTCCCAGAAATGTTTCAAGAAGTTCATATGCTTTGGGATCCTGTGCCACCATGTAAATATCTCATTGAGATATCCCTGATCCCCGCCGTTGTAGGATACAATTTCATTGACATGATCCATGAGCAGCTGGAATGTACAATTTGATGGTTCCACAACCATCACACCTGAGTTGAACAAACTAGCATCATTTCCTGTGGCAGATATTTCGGGCATCTGAAACAGGAAATCAATATTTCGAAGTATAAGCATGTCTGCATCAATGAAAATGATCTTGTCATAATCCGTCAACTGCCAAAGACGGAATTTGCTGTAGTTCCATTCATTGTACGCTTCTGGTTCAGCTTTAGGTTTCCTGATTCTTTGGATTGTGTGGATCTTCCACCCAGCAGCCTCCAATCCCCCTCGATGATACTCGGTGATTGTTTCATCTACCAGTATGACAAGATCTCGTGTTGAACCAGCCATTCGGATGCTCTGAGTTGCAGCAATGGCTCCACAAACATATACATGGGCAGAGTGTAGGATTGTCGCATATGCTTCTCTGTGGGCTCTTTGGGAGTTAACATGTTCTGTATTATAAGGTGTAATGCAGTTCAAGCTCAGTAAAATTTGAAAGTAACCATGAGTTATATTTGCTTACTTGTGGGATGCATTCAAAATGTGGAATTCATTCACAATGAACACATTTCCACATTTTGAAAATTTCCAAAACACCGATGTTTGAAAAAATAAAAGTGAAAACAGAAAGAAAGATTAATGGTAAAGAGGTAGATCAGCAGCTTTCATTGCACAAAGCAAATGACTCAAAAGAAAGTTCAAATTTTGAAAAGAAATATTTGATAAACCAACACAAGATACTAGTTTGAATCTGACCTTTAGCCTTGAGAGGAACTGCAAGTTCACATGACCCTACAGGGAGCTGTAACTTATCTCTCAACGTATTCGGGTTTGGTTCATAGAGCCATGTATTCCCTTCACGTCTAACAAGATCCTTGCACGTGAATAAATTTGGGATTGGGAAACAGTCAGTCACCAAAAGCACACGCACAGGGTGATATCCTTTGGAAGAGGCAGAAAGCCTTGCTGCTTCAAGCTGCAAGTGCAACCGAGCCACATCTCTTGACCAACTGCCTGACTTGTTGCGGGGAAGCTTGACAGCAACCAGATCAAGACCTGGTTTTCCAGGAATTTGAAGCTTTGGTAGAGAGGGACAAGTAGGGACTTCGGACTCTTGTTCTTCATCTATCCATTCAGGATACAGGGATTCCCAATGTTATGTTATTTGCCGCATAGTTGAGGTTTAGAACAACATGTTCACAATCTGGCAAGAGCTCCTTCCAATGGTCAATCTCATTGTGGTTAAAGTTTAATAGCCCAATTCCCAGATTATCTTTTCTGTCAGTCAGGTTTTCAATAAAACCAGAAATTTCATTCCAGTTAATGTTTAAAGATGATACGTAACGTAAATCTGCAGCAGCACTCTTTTTCGTCCATATGTGTTGATAAGTTAGCCTGCAGGATATAAACTTGTGTTACAAATGTTGCCACGGGAAAGAGATCGAGAAAGAGCAAAGGAGAACAAAAGAAAAGAACAATGCTCTTTTGCCTCTTAGCTACTAAGATGACTTTTCCAGTCCAGACAAAGAGAAAAGAGAGTGCAGTGCTGACAATATAGTTTCCCAGGATGAGAAATTTTTGAAGGGCTCAACATCAGAAAATAAATTAAAGGTTGAAGCAAGAAACTATCTAACCGTAACCTAATACCACTCAATAAGAAGAGAAATCAAGGTGATCAGCTCATAGGACATACTGAGATACAGAAGTGGATAGATGATCTGTATTATAAACAGCAGAAGAGAGGAAGAGAGTCACAAAAGTCCCAAATACAAGAATGATCAGCACAAGCTTCAAGGTAGGCTTGCAATTCCAGATTCTATCTGTAGCATGAACGTGGAGAGCCTTTTCAATATCTTTAAGAACTTTATTTCTCTGGGACCTTCTTTTGTTAGCATCTTCACTGAAACAAAAAGGGGTTCATAACAACATCAACACATGTCTGAATGGCAAGAGAAAGAAAGTACAAAGAGCAACAAAATGGAATGGGAAAAACTAAATAAAGTAGTAAATAAGTGAATGCCATTGGAAACAATCTCAGAAAGACAAATAAATGTTACGCAATCAACTCGGTCGTTGTAAATGCATTGCACAGTGATATGTCTATGCGGAAACAGCACAAATTTGAAGTGTCCTACTGCTACATCCCATTAGGCAGATTACAAAGAAAAGTTATAAATATCATTTGCAAACTAGTTCAGCAATATCCCAAGAATTCGATATTGAAATCTCATGCACCATGACCATCACACAGTAGCTAAATACATGGAATGGCAGATCCTCACCAAAATATTTCACACAGTGCAAATTGTAGTCTAATTATTGGCAAGACTCTTCACTTAATCAAAACACGTTCAAATTTACAATACAAACTTTTCGAGACCCACTATTCATCCATGTTCATGGACCCAATTTAATGCCAACATAGTAAATTTTGCCACAATTTAAAAGGTCTAGTCTTGACCTGTATACATATACATATATATAATTTAGCAGGAACCCATCTAATCAAACTGGTAAATGAACACTTTGAACCAACACAAGCAGAGATGCATAGGAAGACTTTTCTTACATGCTTATTAATCTGATATCCAAGCAAAATGAAGTCAAATTACACTAAACCAGAAAGAAAAATAACAAAAACTAAAAATTTAAAGAGAGAGAAACTGACTTCGCTGAACCAGATAGGCGGTGTCTGGGTTCAACTGGACTTGGGGATGGCCCTCTCATCTTTGCTCATTCGGTTTGAGGTTTGAAGCATGTGGGCAGGCACCATCTGATTCTGATATCCTGATTTGATATAAATAAAGAAAAAAAACTGTGAATTTGGAAATAGAAAAAGGAAAACAACACTTGCAGACAGAGCATTTGAGAAGCCGAAGGCGGTTGGTCAATTCAAGAATGAGGCCTGCTTACCTTCTGGGTCTTATTCTGTCTTTTGGTTGTACCTTTTCGGGTCTTTATTCAGCTCCAGTCCAAGTTTTTACGCTAAGTTTTTTTCTGCATGTTTGAAGAGCTTTTACGCAATCGTGATGAATGATGAAGAGTAGGCACAAATACAAAGCAAACCAGTTTCTGCAGCAAAATTCAAAAAAAAATTTGATCGTTCACGCAGCCTCGCCATTCCTCTGTTTGACCAAAATGAAGGCTTTGTCATTGTCGTTGCTTCACCTGCCTTCAAGCATTTTTAACAGTACTTTCGAAGCCACGTAAGTTAGGATGTTTTGTCACTATCAAAACACTTTTTGTTTTTCATAATCATGTTTTCTGTCACCATCATTTTCTAGTTTTACGTTCCTTTGTTATCGGATAATGCTTCTCTCCTAATTAGCTTTTTTTCTCCCATAAAACTGATATGCGACTCTTTTTTTGTATCTCTATTTCTCAAAATAAAAAATTCTTAAATGAATTCCTTTAATTTTTCTACCGAAGTCAAAATTTTAAGTCTTTTTGTGTCCCTTTCCAACTCCGACGACAACAACCCCACTTCAACCAAAGTTGCCACTGACAACGAAATGAAAATACATTTACCAGTTCCAAAACAGTAAATTAGAGTAATCTCATTGACCACAAATGACAATCATTTATGCATAGAAAAAGGCCCTCTTAGATTTAGGTCCAAAATGATTCACTGTTATTGGGTTTAGTCCATGCATTTTTGGTTTTAGATGTAGGTCGATTGATATTTATTAATCAATGAAAAGTAAAGACCCACATATTATACCAATCGATTAGACAAACACCCATATGAAATTATGTACATAACATACAGGTAAATAGTGTTATTATTAGCAACAACAAAAAACTTAGTGATAAATCGTGTTACCAATAAGTTAGGAACATAAATTAGAAGACTACCTCTAAGTCAGATACAAAAATAGACAAATAAAATTATATGTTACCTATAAAAAAAAAATAAAAAGAGGTACATAAAATATATATATATATATATATATATATATGCAATAAGCAATAAGACAATATACCTACATAATAGGATAATATACCTACAAGAGTATATAATATACCTCTCCATAGGATGAGCAAAAATAAAAAGTGTTATTTTATTGTATCTCCAAAATAATAAATTGTCCTAAGAGTGTGGGATTTCCTAACCTACTAGCCTCTTGGCACACGCTCACGCATGTGCCAATTGGTTTTTTTTTTTCTTCTTTTTTTTTAATTAAGAAAAGATAATATGGATAGTTATGTTCCATAAAAGTAGGAGTTATTATCTGATTTTGTTTTTAATTTTAATTTTTTTAATATAAAAAATATGAATTTACCATATTATCCACATTTAATTAATAATTTTAATTCTTAATGTTTGAATTAACCAAAGGCATTTATGGTATTTTGAATGTTTTACCATTATCTTCTACTTCATCTATCCATTTCAGGGTACAAGGATTCCCATGTTGTGTTGTTTGACACATGGTTGAGGTGTAGAACAACATGCTCGCAATCTGGCAACAGCTCCTTCCAATGATCAACCTCATTGTGATTAAAGTTTAATAGGCCAATTCCCTGATAGTCCTTTTTGTCAGTCAGTGTTTCAAGAACATGAGAAATTTCATGCCAGCTAATGTCTAAAGATGATACGTAACGTAAATCTGCGGCAACACTCTTTTTTCTTGATCTGTCTTGAGAAGTTAGCCTGCTGGCAATAAACTATTGTTACAAAATATTTCCAAGGGAAGGAGAGCAAAGCCAAAAAAATATTTATTTTAAAAAAAAAAACAATTTCATTTTGACTGCTAACTGAAAAGATGGCTTTTCCAATTCCTGACAACATATTTTCCCAGGTGGGGAAAACATAAATTATTGAAAATCTCAACAAAGAAGTCTTTTGATTGAAGCAAGAAGTAACAAAGAATAAACTAATACCATGCAATAATAAGTGAAAGCAAGGTGATCAGCTAATAGGACATACCGAGATACAGAACTGGATTGATGATCAGTACTATAAACAGCAGGAGAGACGAAGAGTGTTACAAAAGTCCCCAATAGAATAACGACCAACACAAGTTTCAAGGTGGGCTTGCAGTTTAAGTTTCTATCTTGGGCAGGAACATGGAGAACCTTTTCTATATCTTTAAGAACTTTATTTCTCTGGGGCCTTCTTTTGTTAGAGTCTTCACTGAAACAAAAATGGATTCACTACAACATAAGCATATGTCTGCATGGCAAGTGAAACAAAATGCAAAGAACAACAAATGGAATGGAAAAAACTAGATAGAGCACTAAATAAGTGATTGGGAACAAGTTCCACTCAAAAGACAAGCAATTGCCCTGCGATCGACTCCATCATCGGAAACACATTGCACATTGAAATGTGGAAACAGCACATATATGAATGTTCTACATACCACTCAGCACATTACAAATAAAAGCGCTCAGATCATTTGCAAAATTTACATTGGCAAGAGCCCAAAAATCTGATATCAAAATGAACCATGACCATTGACCCTGTACAAGCCGCACAATTTGAACATGTTGCTCAAGATTTTGTCATGCCCCTTTCAAACAGTGTAAATTGTGGCCAAATTATTAGCATGACACCTCACTTAACCAAGACAAGTTCAAATTCAGAACAAAACCTCTTTCAACTCCTGCTATTCATCCATATTCATGAATCATGTCCCAAATGAAGTGCGAACAAAAAAATTCCCCCCAAGTTAAAAAGCCTTGATCTGTATGCGTATACATATATAATGAAGAAGGAAACCAACCCATCTAGTGAAATTGGTAAATGAACAAAAAATGAGTACTAAAATCATGAACCAACAGAAGCAGAGATGCATTGGAATTAAACCGCGTAGCTTAAGACTGTTTATGAATGAGGCTTTTCTCACGTGCGTTTTTTTTGGTCCTAATTGTGGTACTAAAAATCAAACGCTCAAATTAAAATGAAGTCAAATTACACTAAAAAAACTGAGAGAGAGAGAGAGAGAGAACAGAAAAGTTAAAATAATTTTAATTTTTAAAAAAATGGAAAGAGACAAATTCCAGAAAATGATTCCAACCGAATCTGTGATCTGTGATGAAGAAGGACAGAGGAAGCGAGCTTTTGGGTTTGAAGAGTCTAAGTGAGAGAGAGAGGCGGTTAATTTTCATGCTTTGGGTCTTTTTCAGTGAGACTGGTCAATGTAAGAAAATCTCAAGTCATTGACTATTATATGTGTTCTAAACAAATCTTACCTTTAGTTTGCCCCAAACAAATAGGCAAAATGAGCCATATTTCTTCATTTATTTGGGTCAAATATAAGTTTTTTCATCTATGGTAAGTCTTTTACTCTTTTTTTTTTTTTTTTTTTTTTGGTTGAGAAATTAATGGGTCTTACTTGGATAATTCCTCATCCCTTTTCACATACTTATGCAAATAACTTAATTAATTTTTGGGAAATAAGCTGGTGTAATCACAAATCAGAAATAGTGTGCTGAAATAATCAGGCTACAAATTGTATTCTAATATAATCACTTGGGGACGTGAAATGACCGAAGTGCCCTCCATATAAAAACATATCTATTGGGGAGTTATTGGCCATGGATTGGCGACCTAACACTTGTGGCTTCTCTGTCTTTCTCAGCTCTCTGTGACGGTCATCTCTTCCTCTGTCGGCGCTTTCTCTCTCCAGCGGCCACCACCACTCTATGTCTCCCTCTGTCCCCAAAACCTAAGCAGCACTCTCTCGTTCTCTCTCTGCCGTCAATGTTAGGGTTTGGTGAGGCGGTTATTGACGGTGAAAGAGAGGGTTTCTTCGTTAAATGTTCTCTCCCTTAAACGATTTCTCAGTTCCCTCTCTTTTCATGTCTTGAATCGAAGTCTTTCTCTTCTCCTCTGCTCCTTCAGGGCCTCAAAAAACCCTAAATCTTGGTTTCGGTTCAGACTTTGTTCACATACTTCCTCCTCCTGCTCAATCCTGTCAGAGACAAAAATCGCGATTTTCTGTAGGTGTTGCTAGGATTTCCAATTCGATTTTGTGCACAAAATGAGTGATTCTAAGGTTGGTTTTGTATTTGTTATTGACTAGTTTGCGAATTTGTATGGTTTTCATTTGAGAAGGATAATTTCAGTAACGTGTGACTGATGTTGTGAAGTTTAGTAATTACAGAGATTGCAATGATAATGTATTTTAACTGTGAATTATTTCATGCTTGGATGAAACTTGTATTGGTGTATTGATTTTGCTCTGTGGACGATGAAGTGCCTTAAGTTGGTATTTGTCATCTGGGATTGGTTCGTTTGTGATGCGTGTTTTCACTTCCATTTGATGATGCATATTTAGTGTGGGAATTTATTCTGGTGGCAATGGCTATTCCATTATAACACAGGTTTACCTCA